TGTTGAAAAAATCGTCCGGGTTCTCTCCTGGGTCCATGACCGTCCTTTCCAGGTGGTCCAGTTTAGCCCTGATCANGCGGTGAAGGTGGTGTCCGAGGGATCAGGCCTGCGCATTCCCTTGAGAAGAGGCATGATGTCCCTCCGAGTAACGCCGACGACTACACCCAATTTCTTCATCCAGTCGTTGAAGTCCTCTGGTTTCGTTCCATCGAACTTGGGGAATCCTCTGATGACGTTGGCCAGGTTTGTGGATCCATCACACCAGATGCTGCCTCCGCCTCCAGTTCCCGATGATGCTTCCATTTCTGGTTTTATCCTGATGATCTCGTCTTGAATATTTTTGTTGGTATATTACTCAGCTATCTGTCGCTGAGATTTTTCCAGCCCCGTTCCTTCTATTGATATAGAGGACTCCTGTTGCCGATTCGTGACCCCGCTTCTGAAACCCTTTTCTCACCTAGATAGAGAATTGGTGAATAGAACTCCGGTTGTAGGCCAATTTGCGACCCCGCTCCTGATACCCTTTCCTCACTTAGGGAATCGGTGAATAGGACTACGGTTCCCGGTCGACTTTCGCTGTTGATACAGTCTTCCCTCCTGTCTCCGCCGCAGAAGTATTTGCTCAATGTCTAAATCGAGGCTTCCCGCGCAACACTTTGCTGTTTGTTCACCACAGAGGTACCCGCTACTGCTGTTGCAGCCGTGGTAACATGTGTGTATAGTGAACTCTCGGCCCCTTGGTGTAGATGACCAAGTAGTGCGCTCACTTTCGTTTCCGCTGACCGTTGATGATCTCCCAAATCTCCGAATCCAGATTTCCGCTCGAAGTCCACAGACGGATGTTGTAGTCCACAGCAGTAGGATGTCTTGACCTCCGTCGTGACGTCCGCAGCTCCTAGTGTTCGCGTAAAGCGAGGCTCATAACCTCACAGAATGTGGCGTCCTGCAGCAGCGGAGGTGGCGGTGCTGCTGTAGCTCGTAGACTTTGTAGTCTAGCACAGAGGTTACACTGCTGTCACCGCTCTATGACAGAGGTTGGTCTACACTGCTGTGAGATTGGTAGGCCCGAGCGAGCACTGGAAAGAGAAATGTAGATAGATGTTCTGATCAACTGACTCCCTGGTCAGGCTTTGATGGGTGCTAGATGAGAGTGAGCACAAGGGGCGAAGGCGCGCTTGTGTCTCATCTCAACAACAAAACAACAAAACAAGAAACAAGCAGCAAAAACACAGCAGGTTCCGAGGGTCTCCGGGGTATTGGCCCGAGTACCGGATTTTCGGGGTTCGGAACAATAAAACATTTTTAGTCTCGCCTGCCAAATTATCTCCGCTACAACTCTGTTGTTTCGGGTGTCGGCGCGTGTACTATGTTATCACGCTCGCGGGCTCTTGTCGAGAGCGTGTTGCAGAAAGGAGTGACTCAAGTTCCTTGATTAACTATTAACGAGTAACAAGCATGAGCAGCAGGCANTGTTTGGGGTGTCGGCGCGTGTACTATGTTATCACGCTCGCGGGCTCTTGTCGAGAGCGTGTTGCAGAAAGGAGTGACTCAAGTTCCTTGATTAACTATTAACGAGTGACAAGCATGAGCAGCAGGCAAGAAGGACCTGCTGCTGCACACACGTCTGCATATACCCAAACCTATCATATCTGCGTACCCCCTCGGATATCTCGGAGATCTGTATCCTGCCGAGTACATACACAAACAGCCCCCCTACTCGGTACGAGATACGATCTACGAACCTTCCGTACATATCGCCAGGTAAAACGGCAACAAAACCAAAAACATTCATCTTTCATATTCACAAATCATCTCAACTTCCCGATCTATTGAATATTCAAATTTCAAGTTACAATTCCTCCTTAATCCACTACTATGTATGTTGGAACATCACTAGAGTCTTAACAATCATCCCTCTCGAGAAAATATCGTCACCAAATTCTCAAGCAGCCAAAAACCAAGAATCATCCTTCGAAAAACACTCCGCAAAGATCAATATTACATCAGAGTCACGTCATGAAGACTTTGGACTGACAACTCCGGAAAAACGTGTCAACTATTACTTCGGACAAGATCCTCGCACAAAACCATGTTCCACCTCATTGACCAATCTCAAATAAGCTTCGGAAGCACATAGGCCTCAACCATGTCTTACCAAAATATGCCAACTCCTTCCTTCAATATATCATTCAGAAAAACCAAACCTACCAAATACGGCAAAAGAGACAAAGGTTAAAAACCCGGCGCATATTTAAACGCCAGAGGAAACTTTCACCAATTAAGCCGTTTCTCAAACAAAGAGACAACATCAATTTCTTAGCAGCCCCTGGCCACAATATCTCCCAAAACATAAAAACTTAACAGCCCCTTGCTGCACTATCTCCCAGAACATGAAAAGCTTAACAGCCCCCCTGCTGCAATAACTCCCGAAACAGAAAATGCAAGCCATCCAGTATTTCGTCTGGATTGCAAGAAACAGAATACAAAACATATACCGATTGACATCTCCCCTTCAACATATCTCCGACCAAGGAACTCAATCCGTCCTACAGCAATACATGCAAGGCACAACTCTCGATTACTAACAACGAGAAAACAAACAAATATCAATAACTTATCTCCGGAAGCCGCAGGTGAAACGCGGAATCGGAAACAAGAAATTCTCCTCATTTTCCGCAGGTAAAACGGGGAAAACGTTTACAAAATGAACAAAAACCAAACCCGAACGTCTGCTAGAACGCTGCTTGTACTGCGACGAGGATCATGGCATCACAATCACATTCATCCCCCCCCATGATTTTCGACGGCAGTGCCAGCAGTGGTCCAACGATGTCAACTGAACCATTCGGCGTGCTGAATTCTTAGATTATCCAAACTCAATGCCCAACATATGAAAATCACAATGTAACCAACCATGCGCATCGCAACTTTAAGTCTACGTCGACACATTTCTCAAACTCATGGTTTTCGACAAACAAAACAAAACCAAACCTAGAAATAACCCAAACACAATAATTCTCACAAACATGCCTGAACCGCGCGTAGATCCAGAGCTGCGTCGTTGCAACCATCGGTGATCCCCCACTGGAGCTCCCGATCACGAAGTCTCTTTTTTCCTCCTCTGGAGATCCCGATCACCAATTCTCTCACTTCATGCCGCACACTTCTGCCACGATCGATCCTCCCTTCCTGGCATTACCCCCCATCGTCCCGCACGACGTAGATGCCATTGCTCACGGTCGGATGGGCGCCGGGATGCCTTGCACCGTAACACATGCGGCGCCGATGGCCATACTCACCGCAGGCAGTGCAGTTGCCTTCAAAGCGTCGTGGCGCATTGCATTCGACAAGTGAGTGTCCATGCCTCCCGCATCTCACGCACTAATGAACGACACCAATCAGAGCACCCTGCGGCGAAGCTGACTCCTCTTGCGGGTACACAGCGTTGCGCCCACAGTCATAGAGCCCCCCAGATCCCCACGTCGGGAAGTTAGGAGGTGGGTAATGTGCAGGTGGTGGCTGAGGACGAACCCACTGCTGCTGCTCCCGCTGTTGCCGCCACCGCCGTTGTAGTCCCCCCTGACCGTGGCCACCATGACCGGACCCAAGCCCACCAACCGTCACCGCTGCCGCCGGTGCCGCCTGCGCTTTGCCCAATTCCTTCATCATGACCTTGTTGGCGTATGCCGCGCGAACAACGTTTTCCACCTTCGCTCGGGAAATGGTGGGGTCGGCCAGGATGGACTTGCGTTCGATATCGTACTCGTGCGCAAGCTGGCGGACAATGATGTGCACGATAGCCCCCTCCGATTTCTCGATGCCGACAGCTTTCATGATGTTGATCACTCCGTCTACTCTGGCGANCACTGCTGCTACTCCCGCTGTTGCCGCCACCGCCGTTGTAGTGCCCCCTGAGCGTGGCCACCATGACCGGACTCAAGCCCACCAACCGTCACCGCTGCCGCCGGTGCCGCCTGCGCTTTGCCCAATTCCTTCATCATGACCTTGTTGGCGTATGCCGCGCGAACAACGTTTTCCACCTTCGCTCGGGAAATGGTGGGGTCGGCCAGGATGGACTTGCGTTCGATATCGTACTCGTGCGCAAGCTGGCGGACAATGATGTGCACGATAGCCCGCTCAGATTTTTCGATGCCGACAGCTTTCATGATGTTGATCACTCCGTCTATTCTGGCGAAGAAGAGTTTCGGGTCCTCGCCGGGATGCATCTCAATCGTCTCAAGTCGCCTCACAAGCAACGTCTTCTCAGCGTCAAGAGTAGGTAACAGCCATTCGTGGATCACGCTCCACGCCTCAGGGACGCAGTCGCAAGCACCCAACCGTTCTTCAATGTCCGTGCCGCAGGTTGCTTCCAACATGTACCCCCACGCCCGCTGGTGAGCTGCCACCAGATGTGCACCGTGAGTCTGGTTCAGGTATGTGCGATCCAGACAACTGATAACGTTGACATAACCAGTAGATGGCATGTGGTCAAGGGTTCGCTCCAAATCCTCGACAGCCAGGAAATTCCGCATTCTCCGAAGCCAGCTCACGGCCTTCGTCGAATTCGTCGGGATTTTGGGCGGGTTGCGACTGCTGCTGTAACCGCTCAAAGCACAATTTCCGTCATTTTTCATGCTCACCCGTTGTGTACCGAGCCCAGCTCCACCAGCTGCCCCGGCAGTCGTTCTTCCGGCATCANCCGTTGCTCCCGCCGGTGCGGATGCCATTCCACAAATCCAAACCGTTGAAGATGGGGCAGCAGGACGGATCTCATCGGCATGGTTTGCTGTGGGTGATGGCACAAGTGAGGTGTTTGGGGTGTCGGCGCGTGTACTATGTTATCACGCTCGCGGGCTCTTGTCGAGAGCGTGTTGCACAAAGGAGTGACTCAAGTTCCTTGATTAACTATTAACGAGGTATTAACGAGTGACAAGCATGAGCAGCAGGCAAGAAGGACCTGCTGCTGCACACACGTCTGCATATACCCAAACCTATCATATATGCGTACCCCCTCGGATATCTCGGAGATCTGTATCCTGCCGAGTACATACACAAACATTAATACTTACTCCCCGACCGGAAATCATATTTCACTACACTACATATCGCCAGGTAAAACGGCAACAAAACCAAAACCATTCATCTTTCATATTCACAAATCATCTCAACTTCCCGATCTATTGAATATTCAAATTTCAAGTTACTATTCCTCCTTAATCCACTA